GGTCCTGCCCATCACATGGTTGTCATTGGCAGGATGTAACAACAGGAAGAGGAACAGCCCCTTCCCTGAGCCCTGTTCTGGTGTCCAGGATGGTATAGCAAGTGCACCCCAAGGCTTCCTGAGATGCCCCATCCAGGTGAGGAGAACAGGGCATGTCCTTCCCTCCCAGAGCCTCCCCATGGGGTCTCCTTCATCCTCAGCACATCCCTGGGGTCCTCACCATGGAATGGGTCCCCAAGCCCTGGAAATGCTACAGTGGACACGCGTTCCTGCCACTATTTGGAGCTCATGTCAACACAGACACACGTGTGACAAATCTGCTCAGCCCAGGTTGAAATCACAGTGGCAATGAGCCCAGGGGGGAAAACAGGCAAATACGGAAGGGAGCACAGCCCCTCTCCTGGCTCCGGAGCGTGGCCTTTCTTTCTATCACAACCTCTATGGTCATTTCTATTTTCCTGTGATACCGTCCACACCCCTCCCCCTTCTTGGGAACATCCCTGTGTGTCTCTCCTGGCTCCTCGATGCCCCTTGCTCCTGGGACGGAGCTGTCTTCCCCAGCCTGGGGTTCTGCCTGTAAGCTGTAGGGGACATTTATTTCAGCTAGAGTTCTGATTGTGAAGGAAAAGTTAACTTTTATCTAAATATTCATCTATTATCCATTTGCTTGTGGCCCAGGGTGGTAACATCCTGTCTTCAAGCCTGTTTCCTTATTTAGGTCTTGTTGTCCTGAACCTCACTCCTCAGGGTAGTTGTGGGATTCAGTGGTTCCCAGTTCATGGGAGGGGATCCATCATCGTTAGTTTTCAGAGCAGGTTAAGAGGGGTTTGGTACATGGGAGGATTATGGGGTCAGACTCAACCTACGTGGATGTTTGTTGCATCCAGTCAAGACCCCTCACATGCTCCTCATACCAATAGGTGCTACTTGCCATATTTCTGAGATGTGTAGAAACAGTCTTATGCAGGAACTGAGAAATGAAAGTTCCCCAAATAGTCATGGAACCACAAGAAAGAACAGAGAACAAAGATGAGCAGCTGCCAATTCCCAGGACCATCAGCGGGTCATTGAGTAGAGACTTCCACCCATGTGGACACAGAAAGGGACCCCAGGGTCCTCACAGGGAGGCAGGGGACAGGGCTGCAGGTGAAGGCTGGAAACTGCGGTGTTCCCCAATGTGTGTTTGTGGACAAGCACAGGGGTTTCTCCGCTCACTGACTCAGGCCACCTCCCCTATGTGTATGTAAAACAGATTCACGGCAGCTTTTCTCTTCTGTGAGTGACTGTGAGCTTGAGGTTGCACTGGACCCGTCCCTGCTTAACACAACCCTGAACAGATGTGACATTTGAGAGAGTGGACACCACAGAGCAGGAGAAGCTGCAATTATCTCTTGCGGTCAGCCCGACTCCCAGAACAGCCCCAGGAGAAACCCTTCTTGTACGAACAGGTGTGTGGGAGGAGAGTGCCCACTAGTAATGGACATGAGAGAGTGATCCTAACAATGCTGTGGATAATAAGCTACTGATGAATAGGAATTATCATATACAAGGAAATAGAATGGATAGGAAAATATGAGAATAAAATTAAGCATATTTAAATATCTGAAAAAATAAAAGGAGATGATGAATTTTTGATGCAAGAATATGGATTATGTTACAGAAAAATAGGCAATTCTTGAAACAATTAAGAAATTTTAGAGATGAAAAATCCAATGAAACCAATACATTCAAAAATTATTTCCATTAAGGACAAGACAAAGCTAAAGAGCCATTTATAAAACTGGAATGCAGTATTGAGGGATTTTCCAGAAGGCAGCATAGAGAGACCAGATGTGGAAATTCGAGATGCTTGGGGAATAGAATGAGGATTTGTTGTGTCAGAAGGACAGCAACGAGGATTATGTCTGCAACAGCCGAAGAGATATGTAATTGAACATTTTACAGAGACCGGGAAACACCCACCAAGTGTTAAGGTACATATATTTCAAAATGACATGTGTATCTTGACCCTTTATTGTAAATGAAGGAAATGGAGATGCATTTGAGACAGTCAAGTCACCCCTCCGCCCGGGGTGGGGGGCATAGTTGGGGGAGGGCTGAACTAGCCAACATGGAATGGGAGAACAGTGAGTGGGTGCCCGGCCTCCCCAGCTGTGTGGGTCTGCTGGAGACACCCAGAGTATTGAAGTAGGACCTCCAGACGGGGGGAGCAGGAGATGGGGAAAGAGGCAGATAAGAATATCCAAGGGATTAAACAGATGTGATTCCCATTGACTGCATTCAGGACCCCAGCAGGAAGCCTGTCTCTGAGCTGTTGGGAGATCTGAACCCCCAACACCCCCAGCCCCAACCCAAGCGTGCTCTCCACTCCCCAAGTGTGAAAACCCACACCTCATTGCATGCTGTGGCCAGATCCTTGTGCAGGTTCAGAAAACAAACTGGGGTCTGTGGGCAACAGAGAAACCACACACTTGTAGCAAAACAAAGAGAGATTCCAGCAGCCAGCCTGGTGGGTTTCAAGGACCAGAAAGGAAATACAAGTTTACGAATTTTGTGCATCCTTGAAAAGTTGGAAAAAGTATCACATATAAGCAGGACCAATGAAAAAACATCTCCCACACGAAGACGGCTACTAAAGATTTGTGGAGTGACCGCCACTTCAAATGCTAAAACAGCCACGGGAAACACCAAGGATCACAAGGAATCAAGGAATCAAGGACACATGTCATCAGCAAAAATGAGGACAGCCGTCCAGTAACTGAACTCAGACTTGGAATTTTGCCATGTAGCTGACCAAGATTTCAAAATAGCTGCACTGACCAAACTCATCGAGTTACAAGAAAAGAAGAACAATACGCGAACCAAAAGAGAAATTTAACAAAGAGATAGAAATCATACAAAAGAGCCAAATAGAAATTCTGGACTCGAGGAATTCAGTTAATGAGTAAAATTAATAGAAGGCACGGGACAGCATCTACCACAGAACAGAATGATTAGAGTTCCAGAAAAAGGAGAGGTAGAGAGAGAAGGAACGGAAAGCTTATGTAAAGAAATGATAACCGAGAACTTCCTAAACCCAGGGAGATACTTGGACATCCAAATTCAAGACTAATTAACACACCGAAAGGAAAAAGATGCTGGTAAGAATGATCTGTCTGGGAAATTGTTCTGGAGTTATGAAGGACAGGTAAAAACTTTGGTCTCTATTTAATTTTTCTTTTTCTTTTTTTGGTAGTGTCTTCGTCTGATTTTGACATCAGGATAAGACTGGCCTGGAAGAACAAGTTTGAGGATGTCCCCCCCACCCCCCGCCCCACTTCCAATTTTTGGGCAGAGTTTCAGAACGATTGGCATTCATTCTTCTTTGGATGTTCAGTAGAATTTGCCAGTGAAGCCATCTGGTGTCCCGGGATTTTCTATGTTGACGGGTCTTTGATGACCCATTGAGTCTCCTTGCTTATTATCGGTTTGTTCAGATTTTTTATTTCTTCCTGATTTAGTCGTGGTAGGTTCTGTATTGCTGGGAGTTGATCAGTTTCCTCCAGGTTATGTCATCTGTGGGCATGGAGTTGTTGGTAGTAGTCCCTTAACGATTCTATATATTTCTATGGTGTCAGTTGTAATGCCTCTTTCCATTCCGATTTTATTCAAGTTTTCTCTCGTTTTTCTTCTTAGGTGGTCTAGCTAAACATTTGTCAATTTGGCTTATCTTTTCAAATAACAAACTCTTAGATTCATTGATCTTTTCTTTTTCTTTTTCTTTTCTTTTTTTCAGGGGTGTGTGTCTCTGTTTCATTTCTTTCCACTCTCCCTCTTTCCTTCTGCTATCTTTGGGATTAGTGTACTCTTTTTGTTCTTGTCCCTCGAGGTGTAAAGTTAGGCTGTGTAGTTGAGATCTTTCCAATTTCTTTTTTAAAAGATTTTATTTATTTATTTGACAGAGAGAGAGATAATGAGAGCAGGAACACAAGCAGGGGGAGTGGGAGAGGGAGAAGCAGGCTTCCCGCTGAGCAGGGAGCCCAATGCGGGGCTCGATCCCTGGACCTTGGGATCATGACCTGAGCCAAAAGAAGACACTTAACGACTGAGCCACCCAATCGCCCAAGATCTTTCTAACTTCTTAACAGATGCACTCACGACTACAAATTTCCCTCTCTGAAATGCTTCTGCAGCAGCCTATACACAGGTTTTGGTATGTGTCTTTCCATTTTCGTTTGTTTAGAGATATTTTTTGTTTCTGTTACGATTTTTTTCTTTGATCCATTTGTTGTTCTCGAGTGTTTTGTTTAGCGCCTGTAGCCGCTGGAAGGAACGCAGCCCTGCTGACTGCTTCATGCAGCCCATGGGACCCCGTCAGACTCCTTGGCCAGAGAGCCGCACGGGCGTGAATGTGCACTGTTTCCAGCGTGGAGTTTGCAGCGACTTCTTCCAGGAGCATCAGGAACTGGAAAAGCAGAAAGTGGGGTACACAGCTCTAGAATGGGCTAACTTCCTTCTGAGAAAGGAGCTAAGTAACACGATGTGTCTGCTGACTTACCTTTCCACAGATTGCTTGTTTGCTCTGAAAACCAGAATCTGACAAAAATCGTCACCTGCAGTGTGGGAGCGGGAGGGAGGGTGTGAAGGGGACAGAGGAGGTGGATCATCTCTGAACGCACCATTTCAGGGGGTTTTAGTGTTTGAAACCGATGAATGTTCTACACACTGCAAAACACAGTTAAACTGTGAGACACAGGAAAAGTGCACCCCGATGCGAATATACACAAATAGATTTTATAGTAAAGATAAGCTTACATCCCATCAACACCAGAGCCACAGGGTAAGTTGGGAAAATATTACATTAATTTCTTAGGAACAGGGGTTTGAAAGATCAGAGATACAAGTGTGACATAAGCAGTCGGGGCCGAGCTCTGCATACCACCACCTGCCACTGCAGCACCTGGGACATGAAGCCCAGGCCTCCAGAATGTGGCCAGGCTGGGCTTTGGGCACTGGTGCTCCCAGGTTTGGGATGACACGTCAGGGGCTGAGGTCAAGGCGCTGGAAGGAAAGGTCGGTGCTGGAATCCGTTTCCAGAAGGCTGGGAACCGACTGAGGACAGTGTCAGACACCAGGGGTCTGAGGTTCCTCATCTGCTATGACAAAGCAGGTTTATTATGCTTTTTCAGTTCCGGAGGTCAGAGGCCTGCTGTGGTCTCCCGGGGCTCGCAGGAGGGTGTCCGCAGGGCCCGACTCCTTCCTGGACACAGGGCTCCTTCCTCTGTCTTCGGTGGCCGGTGGACCTTCTGTGGGGGTCAGTGTGCTGCCGGCCCCCAAACCACCCTCAGTCAACAGGAACTCCCTGAGATAGCTTCTCTCCCCTGTAGCGGGTTCCAGACCATTCCCAGGTGACCCCCAAGACACCTGCTCTGGCCTTGCTCCCATCTGACCCACCCCATCCCAAAGTCAGAGGCTCTGGTCCCTGCACGGTTGGCTTAGGCCCCCGGCATGGAGCGGCAGGGCCTGCAGGGAGAGTCCTCCCCGGGGACCTGCAGGCCTGGATGGAGGCTGACTGAGGCTGACCTGGACCCCGCTGGAGTCTCCACCCGCTGCGCCCCTGCCTTCCCCCACTCACCAAGGCCCAGGAAGCGCGTGGGGTTGCGGGACATGGCCAGCCGCTGGCGATCTGCCCTATCCTCGTCCTGAGGTGGCAGGACAGGGCGCTGGGGGTCAGGAGGTGAGCAGGAAGGGCTCCGAGGGCTCCTGTCTGTGGTCTCCCAGGAAGGAAGTGGGGGGCACAGGCCCAGCTCTACCTTCTTCTGTTGGATCACAGAGCCTTGATTTCTGGAAGGAGTTCCAGTGAGATACTACATAGCCAGGCTGAACCCACGTCCAGATGGAACGCCCCTAGAATTAACTAGTGATTATAGAGCCAGACAGAGAGATAATAGGGAGGTAGATATAGAGATAGATGATACGTGATAAAGTACACGCAGAGTACATACGTGCACATGGACATAAATACAGACATGCTGGGCTGCAGGTGTTGAATGGGTAGACGCACAGAGAGATGATGGGACTGCAGAGATGGCAGGTGCATTCTTAGGGGGATAAGTAGATACATAACTGGATACAAACCTAGGCACACAAGAGATGATAGATACACACACATAGTTACACATAGATTCCAGACAGCCAAGTAGAAAGATACATAGTTACAGAGACAGCCACAGACAGATGGTGTGGAGCGCAGAAAGGGGAAGTTTCTGGCTAGCTCCTGGTCCTACCAGGCTGACTGTTCTCAAGCTACGCATTCCCCAAACGCAAAGGGCAATCATGAAATTCTCCGACAACTTCATGTTATTCTGGGCGAGGGGTGCGGAGAGAGGCAGGTGGCGCATTGGAAGAACGCTCAGGCCGGGTCTCCCTCCCGCTCTCCAGGGCAGGTGGCGCTCTGCTCATGTACGATGCTCTTGTCTCTGCCCTCCTCTGCATCCTGTGACTCTGGGCCTTGCTCTGCACACTCACCCCTCCCTCCCAGATGGTCAGGTCAGGCTCTCTTGTTAGGGGGCGCTGACGGGGCTGGGGGGACGGGAGAAGGAGGCAGGACGGGACTTTCATGCTGTCAAACATCCCATTGTGGGGCCCCTGGCTGGCTCAGTCGGTAGGACATGTGACTCTTGATGTAGTTCAAGCCCCACCTTGGCTGTGGAGATTAGTTAAAAATAAGATATTTCTTTAAAAAAAATCCAGGTTCTAACTGAAAACCCTGAAGTCTACAGATGCAAAACCACTAAAGAAACAATAACGTTTGTGCAAACATTGGTGGGCAAGGCTTCCTGCACTGTTGGGGCTGCTATGGGGGCTGGTTCTTGTCTGGACCCCCGTGGGGCTCCCTGGGTCCATTTATGGCACAGAACACAGGACTGTGACTAGCGGAGGCGGTCCGGAGCCCCATCCCTGATGATGACACGCAGTCATAGCATCGTCTCCTCCCTGTCTGTCCCCCTCCCTCCCAGGCCTCTAGCAACTTGGGGCTTTTGCATGTCCTTGATTCTCAAAAGCTTCTCCTATAACTCTACCGGCCTTTATGGTTCAGCGAATCCTATGTTCCTTTCACAGTTTCTTCTAGGGCCCAGTTCCTGGGGGGACTGAAAGCATCCACTGGATTCTGATATGTCCCGTGCACCACCTGCTCACCCTGGGAAGGAAGGCTGAGGACCTGGAAGTGTCCTGGAGCTTCTAAGACCTGTACTGACCTCCCAGGAGAAGGAGGCAGGCAAGGGAAAGGCCTGGGCCTTTTAGGATCAGAGCTCAGGGGAGTGGCTAGCTGAGCCATGGACACCAGGTGGGCTCCCAGGCAGAGCTGGAGTCCTGGGGTAGGGACTGCCTCGGGGTCCTGGAGTCAGCAAGGTGAGGTCTGAAGGGGACAGAGGAGGGGTCTGTGGTGTGCTCTTGGACCGGGGGCACAGACATGGGGCTCTCCTTAGACCTGGCACACAAGCCCAGGGCAGACCCAGCCCCTGTAGCCACTGTTTTTCCAGGACAAGAGAATCAAGCGCTCTATGTCTGCCGTCCCTCCGGGCATCAAGGCCCATGTGCTCTACGATTCTTGGCCTGAAACCACATGTCTGATGCCCAGACCTCCGTGTTCCCCAGCCTCAAAGAAACGGAAGGTCCAGACCCATGGGCTCTGCCATGGACACAACACAGGAAGCAGCCCTGTGGATTCAGAGGCCATGTGGCCCCTGCGGAGACAGTCCCCCACCTGCTGCAGGGAACCTGGGGCTCGGGGTCAGGGCTGCTCTCCCCAGAAAAGCACTTCTCTTTCTACATGAAAGCAACCATCCTCGGTTCCCAAAGAAGCAGGAGGAAAAGGTGGTGATGCTCTGTTGAAACTCAGCCCTAGAGAAAGACCCCAACACTGCAGATGGGTGTTGCCATTGACCGCCTCCCAATCAGTGACTCTTGCTTAGGTGATGTTGCCCAGGCAGGAAGGTGGAACCAGAGGGGGCAGCTGGATACTGAGCAGCTGAGCGGGACCCTGGGGAGAGGGCGGGGGCTCAGCAGGACGTGCTGCAAACCACGAAAGGGTGCCGTGGAAGCCCACGCGTGCAAGCATGCCTTTAGTGGATTTCAGTGAAAAAGCAGTTGAAGGAGGGCCTCTAGATGATTGCTCGTGCTGGGAAAGAAAGAAAACGCTTGAAAACCATGGGAGCAATTATAACAATAGCACAGGAGTTGCTCTGTTTCATCGAAGAAAGGTTAGAAGTCATTCGTTAGGAAATTCAAACCTGGAGAAGTTACAGAGTCCGCACGTAAGTGAACGTACCACCGTGGGTGTGTTGGGGGATGTGCGTGTGTGCATGAGTGTGTGTGTGTAACAGAGCCGGATGTAATGCCATTCAGCAGAAGAAATAAAATGTCTTTGTCCATCAGTGACCTGGTCTCACTCAGGAGCTGCCCCGTCTTAAGCAGGGGACGCGCGCGCACACACACACACACACACACACACACATTTACACGCACGTGCATAGTCCCTCCCAATCGTTGCAAACACTCCTGCATCTTTTGCTGCCGGTCTCCATGCTCTTGCCCAGGATGGTGTCCCAGGTGGAGGGAGAAGCCGCCTCTGCCGCCTCCTGCTGGTCCCTGGGGATGTGGGGTTTGCTCACCAGGTTGCTGGAGGCCCAGCTGATGTCTGTGCCCCCGGGTCACAGGGTCCAGCCTTTCTCTGCTCCCTGGGGCCTGGGGACCCTTCTGGTCATCTCGATGTCCCCTTTGTCCCAGGGGTTCAGTGGAAGTGTCGGGACACCCGCTCCTGCCCCTGCAGCCTGGCCCAGGTGGGATCTCTCCTCCCACCATGACGGGCCCACTGGGGCCTCCTGGCATTGTCTCCGTGGGCACACCTCAGGGGAACTGGGCGGAGTCCCTGGGCAAGGTGGACCCGCGCTCTCTGCCTGGCCACACTAAGCCACCAGGAGTGCTAAACGCGGCTCATCCTCCAGGTGGCGCTCGGGGGCCGCGGAGCAACAGGGACATCCGTCCTGTCGGAATGTCCCTGCACCCATGGCCGGAGTCTTGACGCCTGTGTCCGTGTTGGAGGGTCAGGAAGGAAAGACTAGTTCACAATGTCTGCTTTTCTGCCCTCTCCCCCTCCTCTTCCCACCAAGTCCCCAAGATGGAAGAGGTGTGGGCTTTATTTTGCTTTCGTTTTACAATTTCCCCAGAACTGTGTCAGCTCCCCAGTGACATCATTGCCTGGACCCACGGGACTCCTTTTCACTGGAGCAGGTACCCCGACCTGGTCAGCCGTTCCTGCTCTGGAGGGCGCAGAAGACTCAGGAGTCCTCTCTCGCCCAATGCCAGGCTCTCCGCTCTTCCCTTGCTGAGAGCCTGGCTCAGGTCAGAGGCAAACAAGACAGATGTTAGGGGGAAATACACCATTCTGACTGTGAAGGTTATTTAGGGGTCAGCCCGACTGAGCTAAGGGATGTCCCCAGAGCCGGGAAAACATCACTTCTGGGTGAGTCTGTGAGCAGGTTTCTGAAAGATTAGCATTTGGTTCAGTCACTGAGTGAAGAGGTCCACCTTCCCCATTTGGGTGGGCATCCTCCATCCTCCGAGGGCCCAGATAGAACAGACAGGGGAAGGAGGCCCAATTCCCTCTCTCTCTCTTCTTGAGCTGAGACAACTATCCTCTCTGGCCCTGGACATTGTAGCGCCTGGTTCTTGGGCCTGAGGACTGGGGCTGAATTATACCTGCAGCCCTCCTGGGGCTCCAGATGGCAGAGATCTGGTGGTGGGACTTCTGGCTTCCATAACCTGAGAGCTGATTCCTATAATAAATATATATTTAAATATATATAAAAATACATGTATATATTATGTATACATATTATATATAAATGTATTTTTATATATATTTATATACAATCTTTATAACAGAATCTTTTGGTTCTGTTTATCTGGAGAACCCTGACTAATATACTAATTGTTGAAAAATAATAGAGAGAGAATGTGTCCCTACATGAAAAAGAGAAATTCAGTACAGGACGTAATGAAGAAAATGAAGATGCAGAGTAGAGGGTAGCAATCTGAGGAAGAACCTTGAGCACGAATAGAAATTAACCTTGAGTACAAATGGAAAATCAAAGCTCAGTACAAATTGAAATCGTGTTGAAAAGCCAGGCACCCACCCTCTCTGAGCCAGGACAGACCCTCCCAGCTGGTGAAATGCAGCCTGTCCCCAGGTCCCAGAGCGGAGCTGACAGTCTACAGTCCCTGTCACTTAGGTCCCGGGATCGAGTCCCGCATCGGGCTCCCGGCTCAGCAGGGAGTCGGCTTCTCCCTCGGACCCTCCCCCCTCCCATGCTCTCTCTCTCTCTCTCTATCTCATTCTCTCTCTCAAATAAATAAATAAGATCTTTAAAAAAATAAAAAATGTTAATATTTGCAAAGAAGTAAAATAGCAATTGCACCATAATAAGGCAGCTGAGTTTAGGTTGAATTTTTCAAAAATATTCTTTTAATATGTAATAAAACTTTTAATACAAGGCCTATAGCAGGCATGCGGGTTTCCTACCTTCCCCATAGCAAAATAATAATAATAATAATAATAATAATAATAAAAGACATGAAAATCAATCAGAATGAGACACTCAGGCCCCCCTAGCAGTTGTCAGGGTAATGTTCCATTTTAATGTGAGTGGGGTCCTCGAGGCTGACCCCACAAGCCAGGTAGAGATACAACACGTCCCACCCCACAGGGGGCTCGGGGCTCTCCTGGCAGGCGTCTTGGACACCTCACAGCCTCTGGTGGCATAGCTGGCCCCGCTGTGGGCACGTGGTTGTGCAGATCCCAAGTGTTTGCTGTGGAGGCAGCATGCGGCTGTCTTGTCTACAAACCCTGTAACCATCAGCAACAGTGCTAGGCAATCGAGTGGGCAGTTGTGGACAGAAGCCTAATCTGTGTGCGGAGACATTAAGAAATAACAGGGGCCATGAGGAAGGGAGGAGAGGATCCCGTTCAAGTAACAGAGCCATGAGGCCCGCCCATGTGGTCAGGTCCTGGGGGGTCAGGGAGAGAGGCATGGAATTTGGACACCATGTGATGTGAAATAGAAGATGGAGAACGGATCCAGGGAAATACGGCGACCTGCTTTCTGCACACCACAAGGCAGGGGGCTCTCAGGAAACAGCCCCCAAGATGCCCACACCCCGTCCCCATCAGGATGTGTGTGATTAAGGGAGCATAACACCTCATGTGTGATGGAAGTTAACTGCCCGCACAAGCAAACAGGTGAACGCGATCCCAAGTCAGCAGTAGGGTGATTGAAAAATCCTGTGTATTCGTAGGAACTGTGAGGGACAGTCAGGGTACAGAGCAACAACACTACTGAAAGATGGTTTGTTACAGTTCTCAGGAGGAGGGGCACACTGCACCACGCAGGGCTCCAGGGGCGGTCGGCGGGGCAAGCGGAGATTGCTAGCTAGAGCTTTTGGTGTGGTTTCTACAGGAAGAATGAGCAAGCCAGGGTGGGCAGGCTCAGGACTGGCTGGACTCCACAATTTCAGTGGGCTCTATAGTGGAAAAGATGACCCTGTTGTCTGTTCCGTGGCTCCGGGGTGATGAAGGCACGTGCAGAGAGTGGCCCAGAGTGTGAGAGCCTCATAAGGGAGGTGGTTGGGGGTGTGCACTCTGGATCAGCTGGTGAGTGTTTGAAAAGTGCACCCCCAGGAAGAGGATTTTGCTCAGGAGAGGGGGGTCAGTGAGGAAGGTTGGAAGTCAACGCAGTGACTGAGGTCATGTCCAGCACATGCATCTAGGACAGATGTCAAGTTTATAGACACCTGAAACGTGGCTAATACAAGGGGAATAGCAGGTTCTGCTCCACAGAGTCATTCTGGGCGCAGGGAAATTAGACTGTCAAAACACCCAGCATTTTACAGACTAGTGGGAGACGAACCCGTTCACATGCTGCCTTACACGTTACCTTACCTCACGTGGCAAACGGTGTCTTTACTGGTGTCAGTGAGTTAAGGATTTGGAGAGGGGAGATGATCCTGGATTGTCCCACGGTCCCGGTGTAAGCATGAGGGTCTTTATAAGAGGGAGGCACGAGGGTCAGAGGAAGGGGAAGGAGGCGTCACAGAAGCAGGAATCCTAACCAGAGCAGGGTTTAAAGATGCCACAGAGCTCCCTGAGGATGGAGGACGGGCCATGGACCAAGGGATGCAGGAGCCTCTAGAAGCTGGAAAAGGTCACCAAGTGGATTCTCGGCTCGAGCCTCCAGAAGGAACGCGGCTCTATGGACACCTTGATTTCAGGCGCAGAGAAACTGATTTCAGACTTTGGACGAGCAGAACTGTAAGATAACAAATTGTGTTGTCGGAAGCCACAAAGGGTGTGGTGATTTGTTACAGCAGCCATGGGAAACCGATACCCTCACTTTACATGGAGCAGTTGTTGCAACCCCGTTAGGAAGAACGACGTCCAAGCCCAAACTTGAAGGGCGTTAGCTGGGTGAGGGAGTGAGGGTCAGATGGACAAGGTCTTGGAGCTGGATGGTGCTGTTGTGTTTGGAGAATGCATGGCGTCCGGTGTGGATGAGCCTGGAGTAGGGATGGGAAATGGGAGGCTGCCATGTTCTGCGGCGTGGACTGAAAGCCTCAGGGTCCCTCCCTGTGCAATCACAGCCTCACCAACTCCCTCATATGGTCCATATATACATATCCATTAGTGCATGTGCATGTGTTATTCGTTTGTGTAGTTTGTGTGCATGTGTGTGCACGTGTGTAGGTGTGTGTGTATGTGCATGGGTATATTTGTGACATGTGCATGTAGGGGTATGTGTCTGCATGTACGTGCATGCATGCATGCATTTGTGGACGTGTGTGTGTGTGTGTGGAGTGTAGGGTTCTATCACCTGCACGTTTACTCGGGCACACGTCTCCTTAGCATTGCCCTCATTCCTCCCTGGGACACTCAGTTCAGAAAACACCAATGCATTCTTTGTCTTGTTCCCTGCTCTGAGCTTTGAGCAGAGACTGGGACCAAGCTCCCCATGCAGGGCTACTGTGGCGGGGGGGGGTGCTGTGAAAACTTTTATTGATGAACAAAGAGAAGCATAATCCAGAAAACAGCATCTCAGCTATCAGCTGCCCATGTGTAGTCCAGGTTCAAGGTCAACTCTGGAACTCTGGAAGGCCTTTAGAGTGGACAATTAAATCAGAGCCTCTGGGGGGCAGTTAGGGATACACAGGACACATCTGGAATCACTTGTGTGACTGGGAGACCACAGCTGGGTCTCTGGAAACAGCCAAGTGACTATAGCTGAGTCTCTGGAAACTGCCAGGAGTCTGGAGTCCATAGCTGGGTCTTTGGAAATAAGGGCTACACGTTCTCTCCAAGGATCTAGTGGATTTTAGGAGGGACCGCATGGTTCGTGCATCTCCTAGATGTTGATTAGAGGCCTCCTGACACCAGTTCTTGCCTCCAGGAAATCTGACTGCATGGCTTTCCAGAAAGGGATGATTCCACCCGGAAGCCCTCCAAACGGCCACTTCACGCTTCTGCAGGAATGGCTTCCTGTGTGTCTAGGAGTGGAGGCCAGCTGGGCCTGGAGTCAGTGTCTGGCGAGGGCCGCATATGTGCTGGACTCAGCTGTGGGTTCCATGGACCGCGGGGATACGGCTTGGGCTGTCCTCTGTGTGAGGATCCAGTGGTCCAGCTGAGCATATGTCACGTCTGGGGGGCCTCCTGCAGTAGGGGTCTGAGAGAGAGAGACCCAGGTGAGTCAGGGTGGCTGAAGAGAGGGTAGGGGACTGTGGGAAGGGGGGGCTAGTAGCCAGCCTCCAGGTGACCCCCGTGATCCCACCTGCTGGAATCACCACTGTGTGTAGTTCCCTCCCACTTAAGATCAGGGCTGGCCTGGGTGACCAGTAGACTATGGCAGAGTGAGGGCGTAATGTGGCTCCTGGCCCTCCCTCTTGGGGAGGCCAGCTGCCATGGAGAAGCCCAGGAGGAACTGAGCATCCTGCCAACAGTCGTGCGGGGGGCGGGGGGGGAGTGCCATCCTAGAAGTGGTGCACATCTTCACAGCCACCTCCAGAAAAGACCCTGATCCAGAAAGACCCTGAGCCAGAACCACCCCGCTAATCTGCTTCCAAACTGCTGAGCAAAGAAACAGAGATCATTTCGTCAAGCTGCATCTGTTAATGCAGCAGTTGGTAATGGGTACAAGGACTTACTGGGGTGCGAAGCATTTCCCCGTCCTTTTCAGGAAGTCTGTCGACTGCGGCCAGATCTGGAGGGAAGGGGACAAGGGTCAGGTCTCTGAGGTGGGTCTTGGAGGGCAAGTTTGCCTGAAAACTCACAGCCTCAGATTTTAATCTTGCACCGCCTCAGGAACATCCTAGAATGTTCCCAAACGTTCCCCGCTCACTGGCCTGTCCCTCCTTTTACCTGGTGTCCTCTCTAGGATGTCAACAGCCGGGCTAACCCTGAGGGGAAAGAACAGTGAGCACTGAGGGGGCCCCCCTGAAGGCAGAGGACTGGGAGGGGGTCCAGGGTCAGTCTCAGGAACCTCACCTCTCCTGGGGCCTCTGCTCTTCACCTTTGCTGCCGGGGGGGCCTGAGGACAGTCAGGGGTGTGAATTAAGAAGAGATCCCTTCTTCCCAGCACCCCCACCCTCTCCCCGAGACCTACTGTGTTTTTTCTGGTGCTGATAATAGAGCAAGATGAGGACCAGGAGGAAGACACAAAGGAACAAGGTCACAGAGACCCCAGTGAGGACAGAAACATGCTCTGTTGACAGGCCTAGGGGAACAGGGAAGATGGAAGCAGATTATCAGGGATGTGCATTTATTGGCCACCAACTGCCTACCATGGGTATGCTGGGTGCTGATCATACACACACCTAGGTATAAAATCTCTGCAATGCATAGTAGTCGTGTGACACGGGAAGCATCATTACAAAACCAGGGTCCTGAATGCTGAAGTCCTCTGTCCACAGGGCTTTAGCAGAGCTGGAATAGGACCAACCCCAAAGCCCATTCTTTCCCCTTCCCCAAGAAGCACACTCTGCTCCTCTGTCCCCCTCACTCACCGGGACTGTTACTGTCCTCCCAGTGCATCTGTGGGTCTCCTGGGAAGGAGGAATTGAGCGCACGGTCAAAGGCCTGAGCTGGACAGAGAAGGCTGAGTCTCCCCGACTCCCCCTGCCCCGCAAAGGGGGCTCCTCCAGAACAGGCCCATGGGGCTTTCTATGAGGATGGAGATGCCCTATCATGCTGTCCAGTGTGATAACCTCACTGGACGATTTCCATTGAAACACAAGTTAAATAAATTTAAAAGTCAGATCCTCAGCTGCACTGGCCATGTTTCCTGAGCTCAGGGGCCACACCTGGCTAATGACACTGTGCAGGATGGCACAGAGACACAGCGAGCCCTTCCTGCAGGAGGGTCTGTGGGACAGTGCTGCCCTCCACCCTCCCCTTGCTCACCTCCTTCTGGATTTCCACCCCACGTGCAAAAATCCCCATCGCTGATGTCTTCTGTTTCTCACAGCAGCCCCCCGATGGGGGCGAATCTCCCTTCTGTGAGTGCAGAAGCCAAGACTCCACATCCTCCTGTTGCCTGAAGCCAGTCACTCCAGCACCGGCTTGGCCCTTGGCTCTAGGCATGTACCGCACGTCCATTTCACAGGTGGTCAAACCGAGTCCTGCTAGGCTCCTCCACGCACAGGGTGGAGCCCCCATGTCGCCTCTTCCGGACAGTGCCCCCTCCCTCCCGCCGCCCTGGAGGCTGAGTCCTCAATGTCCTTTAAGAAAGGCAGAAAACTTCACCTCCTGGAACTTCCCTCCCTCAACACCTTGTCTTGGGAGCCCACCCGTTGTAATATATAATAAATATAAATATACATTTTTAAGTTCTGTGTTTTAACTTATGTGTATAATTTCATTTACATGAATAATTTTAATGATATATCATTTAAGATTACTTGTAATGCATAAGCTATATATCTCAATTGTATCTCAATTACACATATTTACTATTATAAGGTAGGTATTTACATATATGAATTATAGCAAGACATGACACATAATATAATGTATCACATTATATAATCTATAATACTGTATGCTATTAACGTTTGGGAGCTCAGGGACCCTTTCTCCTCATTCCCCGTGTGCATCCAGCGCTCAGTGGGTGGGTGTCTGGTGCATACAAAGAAAGTGTGAGAAGAAACGGTCAGTATTAGTAAGACCAGCACTTTTTCAGGCCGTGGCATTCAGCAGGCAGCGACCTGACTGCCGTGCCCTGCCTAAACCAATTCCTGCGTCCCCTGCACCCCAGGGTCAGGAATTTGTCACCCCTTTTGCGTGCGAGGAAACTGGGGCACGCACGGTTTCGGTCCCCGGGCACAGAGCTCCGAGGCAGGACTGGAATCTCCACCCTGATGCCGGCAGGAAGGCTGCGGGGTTTCTGCTCTGAACTTCAGTCTTCACAACAAGAGAGGGGGCAGGGGGGAGAGGTGGGGGGCATGCCTGTGCGCCCCCCACTCAGCGGGGTCAGGATTCTCTGAGAGGGGCTCTGTCTTCCTCTAGGTGACCTAACGCCACCGTTGGGACATAACCATCAAGAGCCCCGTTCTCTCCCATAGTTTGGAAGACTGTCGGTCTCTCTGTCCCTTGCAGAGCTGCCAAGGGTAGGACTCTGCCCACAAGGGGGTGGCCACAGCCCGAGTTCTGCCCCTCCCTCCCCCGGGCTGCTTCCACCCTTCAGAGCCTTGTGCCCCTGGGCTTGAAACTTGCATCGTTTTGCGCATTAAAGGAGCGGGGGGTTCTCAGAAGGTCAGAGGAGTGCCTCCCACATCCAGCCTCTGCTAGCTTTGACTGTTTTCACAGCACCTGGTACAGAGGTAGTTCCACCAGTGAGTGTCCTTTGCCCTGCAGGTGGCAGCCCCTCACTGTGGTTTTACCAGTTCCCAATCCAAGCCAAAGGCAGGCGGCTGGGCCTAGAGCCTGATCCCCAGCACAGAGCCCACCCACCACCTCAGCAATGCCCCCAGGCTGAGGTCTGTTACTCACCAGATGAGGAGTAGGTGTGTGTGTGGGGGGGGGGGGGGCTGTTTCTGTGACCAGGACAGAGGGACTGATGCTCGGCGGAGGCCCCCAGGGTCTGTCCCACTCAGCCTGGTTCGTCTGTGCATTGAGCACCCATGGGAACCCTGAGCATCCATCAGAAGACCACATCGGGCCATCACCCCGTCCCAGAGAAACCTGAGGGCAGAGCAGAGGCATCCTCACCTGTCACGTTCAGCTGCAGTGGCTCACTGCGTTTAGACCAGGCGACACCGTTATGATAGAGGCAGCGATAGAGCCCAGCAGTGTCTTCACTCGCCACGGGGATGGGGAATCTGGCCTGCGTCTCATGCTGTGGGTTCCGCACATCTGGGTGTAGGTCATTTCCCTCCTTCTCCAGGCGGAATGTCTCAGCCTTCGCGGGTCCCTGGCAAACAATGGTCACCGGCTGCCCCTGGGGGATCAGAGAGCCCGGCTCCGCCCAGATGGAGGGTCTGGGCAGGACCCCTAGGAGGGAAGCAGAGTGGGCTCTCAGAGTCCGCTTGTGAGAAAGGCACCATACCACAGGATTCATCCCTGTTAGATGCTCAATTCATTTTTAGGCAAACCTGCAGAGCTGCGCAATGGTCACCGCCCCTTTAGAACGTTTCCATCGTCCTCCCCCAGGAGACCCCTCCATCCCTGCCAGGTCCCTTCTAGGTGGGTGTGAATTCTCCTCACTGCAGTTTCTCTCCCCCTTGATATAGGACCCTGGGACTCGGTCACATCTTGGGCTTTTCTCAGGGTGACAGGGAGATGTCAGAGCAGGCTGGGCGCCCAGACATGTCTGCCGCGGAGTGTGGCCTCTCTCGCTGCCCACGGCCACTTTCTGGGGGGACAGAGCGAGCTGGGACAGAGACAGTGGATGAGGGTGACATGTCATTTGTGACGACAAGGGAAACAGGAGTCTGCAGTTGTAGGAATGACTGTGGCCTGGCTGGGGGCGGGCGGGCTGCAGAGCCCCAGGGGAAGTCCAGTGGGGGGTGTGGCGGAGCACCAGCTCATCGCGTCCCACAGACCTCAGTCGATGAGGTTTCCTGTCTCCAAAGCAAGTCCTCTGTGGGTCACCTGTTTCTGGGTTTGCTCTGTACTTTCTACCTGCATCTCAGCCTTATCTCTATTTCTTTGTTGTTAAGGTTCTTGAAAACCCCCATCTGCCTCAGCGAGGCTGGTGGCGGAGGAAGAGAGGGTCTGTAGCCCTGAAACAGGAAGACGGCATCAAAGTTACAAAATCCCTCATGGAGGCAGGAGCTGGTCTCTCTCTTTCTTTCTTTTCTCCTTCCTTCCTCGTTTCCACTATATCTTAGTACTATCTATCCACGTACAGATGCCCTCCACGTGCCGCTGGTCCTACAGACCTGAGAAACACACCCATGATCCCTGCCCTCTCGGGGCTGAAAGTATGGAGGGAGGACAGACACTGATCAAACACTTGTCCGAGTCCACAGGTACAGACTGTGATGAGTGCCCTTGGGGTGAGTGTGGGAATCTAGGGGTCCTCGGGGAGGTTGGAGGGAAGAGGCATCTGAGCTGAGAGCAGAGGGTCCGGGGTGAATCACCCACGCTGAGCAGAGAGGGGTGGCCAGGGCATCTGACACAGAGAAGTCAGCATGTGAGGAGGTCCGGAGCTGAGGGCGAAATGGTGTGTTTGAGAAAGAAGGAGGGCTCAGGTATCTGGAGGTGAGTGAGCCAGACAGCATGAGGCCAGGACAGATCCAGACCAAAGAGCGGTGTGTGGGTCTCATTCGTTCTGAACAGAAATGGTGAAAGGGCTCTAAAACGCTACTATTTTGCCCGAAAAAAATATGAAAAATACATTTCAAAAATGTAAGTGAAATTTTAAAATTATCATTTAAAATTATGTCACTAGGTGATGTGTATTGAAGGTAAAGAAGTTGGGATCAAGGATGGCGTCTGGAACTCTGCCCTTGGCAACTGTCATGTTCTCTGCCCAAGGGATGCTGCGGGGGGGTGGTTTGGGCTTGTGTGGGAGAGCCTTGGGTTCAGCCTAATCCTGTGGGGCTTCCATTGTCTAGGGGGCTGTTGGGAGCGCAGGTGGAGAGTGGGGAGAGACCCGGGAGGGTCATACATTTGGGATTGTTTGCAATTGGGGGTAAATTTCAGGGGTTCCTCCCAGGCCCTCCCAGGGTCAGCACCACACCATCCAGAGCTGCCTCTGGGGTGCAGAGGGGAAGGGGAGGAGACTCACCTTCCTGTGCTTGGAGCACCGGGCCCAGGCAGAGCGCTGGAAGAGAAGATCTGGTAAGAGAGATGCCCATCCCTGGTTTCCTCAGGGGCTGCGCCAGTCCTTCTTGCTCTGAAATAGTCTCGAGACAAGCCCCCGGCCTCCTCTTCCAAATAGATGCTTCTCCCCTCCACCAACCCCTCTGGAGTCTGAACTCGTCCCCATACCCAGGAGACCATTTTTAGGGCTAAACTTGCACGGTGTGACTTAGGTCCGGGGCAAGAGCTGAGGGTGCTGATCCACGTCGCTCTCTGAGCGTCCCGAAGTCTTCTGGACTGGGGTCAGGACTGGGAAGGGAAGCAGGCCCCCTCCCCAAGTCTACCGCCCACCCCCTTTGTCCCTCAAACCCTTTGCCTCCATTCCAGGACGCACCAAGGGCCAGGACAGTGGTCAAGTGGGGAGACATGCCCAGACCCTTGCAGCCTGCACCCTCCTGGAGCCGACAGATGAACGACAGAGCCTGCAACTGACAGGATGTGTCAGCTGGGGCACATCATGGGGTTTCTACATCAGCCGCCTGCCACAAAGGGGAAGAATGTTCTCCTGCCCTTCCCACTCCTCTCACTGATGAGAGTGAGGAAGTTCACGTCCAAAACATGCTTGGATGAGGCTGAACTCGCCCCCGGATGAACGCCTGAGGTAAGAACCTGATCGTCAACCTCTGGGATCAGGCAGAACATGGACTGTACAACAAACTGACTTGATAACACAAAGTAACCCTCTGTTCTGGGGCAAAACATGCCACCTACACCACCGTTTCCTCATCTTTAAAACGGGAAGCCTAAAATCCTCCTCCAAGTCTTTATTTTTTAAATTTTTTTAAAAAAGATTTTATTTTTTTATCGGGGGGGGGCAGGCAGAAGGAGAAGCAGGCTCCCCACTGAACAAGGAGCCCGATGTGGGGCTCGATCCCAGGACCCTGGGATATGCCCTGAGCCGAAGGCAGACGCTTAACGACTGAGCCACCCAGGCGAACCTCCTCCAAGTCTTTAATGTTATGATATTCATTAAATTCTCAGTCAGGTGTTGGGAACTTTAAAAACATCCTGCTAGCGTGAGTTCTCTTCCCATTTTCCCCCAGTGCCGTTGGAACCAGCGAAAGGTAGGGTGCCCCTGAGCACAGGCAAGATCCTAAAGGGGTGGGATGGTCATGAGACAGACCTCAGGCTTGGGGCCAGATGGGGCTTGCGTTCTCGTGTCCACCGCCCTGACGGCACGAAGAGCCACCTCTCCGAGGTGTGGCTGCAGCAGACACTGATGGTGGCCAAACATCAGTCACGGCTCACTGGTTCCCTTACTAACAGGCACACAGAGCTGTTGGCGTGGCTGTGCTCGAAGCCTGGGGCTGGGGGTGGCCGTGGAATGAAGTCTGGGTTAAGGCAGTCTAGCAATCCCGTCTGCAGTAATTGGTCCAGAGTGGGGGCACATGACCAGGTCTGGCCAATGATGCTGAAAGCAGAATATACCGCAATACCTGGGAATCCCATTTCTCCCTTAATATTGGAGGGTCTCATGCGACCTCTGCTCTCTCTACCCCTGTGCTCCCCTGGGAGGCGTAGCATGATGATGTGATGGATGAAGCTGCAGCAACCACCTCACAGCCACGAGGCAACAGGCTTGAACACAACAGCAGAAACAGCTAGGCTGGGTAGGCACAAGGTCTAGGATCCGTGGAAGGCCCCTGTGCTGCTGAACCAACCCTAGGACCACCTCTCCCCGGAATTCTTAATAAGTAAACAATAAATAATCCTAGATTTTCTGTCAAAAGTTCAGACTAAGTCTAGGGACTTGCACTCCATCTTAAAATACAATGATTGTGTCTAAAAACCTAAAACTGCTTAATGCAAGATCTTAAGAATTTCTTTAAGTGCCTTAAAGAAATGAAAAGTATGTGAAGGCTCCGGAGCCAGAAATTAAAGGAAGTTGGGACTCCCCAGAGTCAAGCTGGATGCTGAACCCGGCTCTCACTTTGACGGTGGCGAGTTAAGTCTTATCTCCGTGGCCTTGCAGACCATGGGGCTAAGGGGGTAAAGCCCAGAGGTCTCCCTGGTCAAGGAGTCTGGGGACACGCTCCCGTTCTTAAGCCAGAGTCCAGAAACTTCCACTTTGTCGTAAGAGTGAACTGAAATTATTCACCCATTTCTGAGGGCTGCCAAGAATACGTGTTTTGAAACAGGAAGCCAAAAATGGTTGCTCCTGAAAAATGACTAACACCAGCCGGTCTTCTGAATTAGCAACTTCCTGATCCTACTCTTCTGTGTGTTCGCCCTGTGATCTCTCTGCCTCTCGGTCTGTCTTTCTCTCGCCCGCCCACTTTCCCCCCTTGGGGTCTCTTCCTCTTCTTTCTCTGCTTCTTGTTTCCGGTGGCTGTGTGTCCCCGTGCCCCACAGCATCGCTCCTTGTCCCTGTCCATCAGGTCTCTGCACCCCCAAACTGTGCTAATGGAAGGGGCTGACTCCCAACACACCCAAGGCCCAGATTGCTGGTCTCCCCGGTGACTCCAGGTCCCCACAGACACCATCCCAGCTTTGTAGGGGGATCGGGGGCACCCAGGCCAGGAGCCTTCATTGCCTGCTTTCTGTGGCCTCGGGCTTGCTCACTGGCCGCGTGGCCTCGTCCCCTGTTCTGCTTCTCAGCCCTTGTCCACTTGGGTGATGCCTCCCATGCACGAAAATCCTCCACCCCCCCCCTTTCCGTGTAGTCTTTATTAGTGATTTTTCATCAGCTTTATTTAGGCATAATTTACATACAACACACCCCCTCCAAGAATACGTGCAATTCAATGAGCTCTGGCCACTGTGAAATCACCATCCTCGTGAAGATTTCCATCGCAGCCGAAAGATTCCTCATGTTCCCTTTGCCCTCCCAGCAACCACTGATCTCTCTTTTCTTTCTTTCTTTCTTTTTTTTTTTTTTTACTTTTTGGAAAACATATATTTGTTCGATAACATTTTTTAAACAAACCTCTTACCCTGGAATGATGTTCGATTCACAAAGAACTTGCAGAACTTGCAGAGACCCAGAGAGCTCCGCTATGCCCTTCATCCAGTCTCCCCAACGTCAATATTTTACGTAACTGCACTACATCTGTCAAAACCAAGCAATTAACATTGATACAGTAATTAAATGAACTGTGGGGGACTGTGGTCCCCATCTGTTGGTGATAAATAGCTTTTCCTTGCCTGAAGTGTCTTTTTCTCACCTCCGGTGCTGAAGGGTGTTCTCCTGTTCTGGAATTGTAGGTTGGCTAGGTGGGCAGCCTGTCTCTTCCAACACTTGTAGACACTGCATCCCCATGCTACTGACACCGGCCAATTCATTTCTTCCTTCCTTCCTTCCTTCCGTTCTTTCTTTCTTTCTTTCTTTCTTTCTTTCTTTCTTTCTTTCTTTTCTTTTCTTTTCTTTCTTTCTTTCTTTCTTTCTTTCTTCTTTCCTTTCTTTCTTTTTTCTTTTCTTTTCTTTTCTTTCTTTCTTTCTTTCTCTTTCTTTCTTTCTTCCTTTCTTTCTTTCTTTCTTTCTTTCTTTCTTTCTTTCTTTCTTTCTTTCTTTCCTTTCTTTCTTTCTTTCTTTCTTTCTCTTTCTTTCTTTCTTTTTTCTTTTCTTTCTTTCTTCCTTCCTTTCTTTCTTTCTTTCTTTCTTTCTTCCTTCTTTCCTTTCTTTCTTTTTTCTTTTCTTTTCTTTTCTTTCTTTCTTTCTCTTTCTTTCCTTCTTCCTTTCTTTCTTTCTTTCTTTCTTTCTTTCTTTCTTTCTTTC